AGGCCATACATACCCATTCCAACAAAGACAAACCTTCTAATGTTGCCACTCCCTATGAGTTTATGGGGGCCAATTACATTCAAACTACCTCACATGGGGAGCAAAAGTTCCCCTCCCTAGAATCTGAAGACTCACCTGCCGAGAAGCGTCCTTATCACTGTCCAACACAACTGACAACAATCTCTGTGGAGACTGCTGACATAGAAATAACAATTTCTGGGACTCTCAGACTAGGACGTTATCCTGGTTTTCAGTAGAGATATTCTGCCTTCCTGCATTCCTGGGAGATCTCATCTACTGTGATGCCCTCAGGTGTTCCCAGGAATAACCTGCTTAGCTTCCTTGTTGACACTTTGAAGAAAATAGCTTCAAATCACCAACATCTTTTTCTTTTCTTTTTTTGGTTTTTTGAGACAGGGTTTCTCTGTATTGCTTTGGAGGTTGTCCTGGAACTCACTTTGTAGACAGGGCTAACCTCGAACTCACAAAGATCCGCCTGTCTCTGCCTCCCCAGTGCTGGAATTAAAGGAGTGTGCCACCAAAGCCCAGCCTTTGTTTTCTTTTTAAATCACCATCTTATATTTGACTATGGTAAAGACGGTGAATCGTTAGGGCTCTCAGGTACCTGAGTTTACCTCTCTTCCTTTTTTTTTTTTTTTTTGGTTTTTCGAGACAGGGTTTCTCTGTATTGTTTTGGAGCCTGTCCTGGAACTCACTCGGTAGACCAGGCTGGTCTCGAACTCACAGTGATCCGCCTGTCTCTGCCTCCCGAGTGCTGGGATTAAAGGCATGTGCCACCAACGCCCGGCTACTCTCTTCCTTTCTTATCTGGCACGCTTAGAATCTATATTAAAAAGGTCAACCAGGCAGTGGTGGCGCATGCCTTTAATCCCACCACTTGGGAGGCCGAGGCAGGTGCAGCTCTGTGAGTTTGAGGCCAACCTGGTCTACAGAGTGAGTTTCAGGACATCCAGTGATAACACAGAGAAACCCTGTTTAAAAAAATTAAATTAAAAAGTCCGTGTGCGTGTGTGTGCGCGTTTGTGTGTGTTTGTGTATGTTTTTCTGTGTCCGTGTCCATGTGTCTGTGTGCGTGTGCATGTGCATGTGTGTTTCTGTGTACGCTCATAGGAGGCTAGTCAGAGGTTAACTTCAGGTGTCTTTCTGTTTTCTTTACATTATTTTTTCAGACAGAGTCTCTCACTGAACATGGAACTCATGAATTGATTAACCTGGTTAGCCCGTGAACCTCCTGTCTCTATGTCCCCAGAACTGGTTATAGATGGACTTGGGGTTTTTAACGTGGGTATCAGGGATCTGACAAGCACTTTACTCACTGGGCCATGTCTCCAGCCCCCAAATACCTTTTTGGGATTTTTGTTTTATGTGCATGGGCGTTTTACCTGCATATATGTTTGTATGTGCACCATGTGTGTGCCTGGTACCCAAGGAGGCAAGAGGAAGGAATTGGATCTCCTGGAACTGGAGTTACAGATGGTTGTGAGCTGCCATGTGGATGCTGAGAATCAAACCCTCTTCTTCCTCTCCTCCCCTGCCCTGTACTGAACCCCTATCCCATCCCCTTTCTGCTCCCCAGAGAGGGTGAGGCCTTCCATGGGGAATCTTCAAAGTCTGTCATATCATTTGGAGCAAGGCCCAGACCCTCCCCTGTGTGTCTAGGCTGAGAAAATATCCCTGTATGTGGAGTGGGCTCCCAAAGTTCATTCATGTTCTAGGGACAAATACTGATCTACTACCAGAGGCCCCATAGATTGCCCAGACTTCCAAACTGACTTCCACATTCAGGGGGGCTGGATCAGTCCTATGCTGGTTTCCCAGCTATCAGTCTGGGTCCATGAGCTCCCTCTTGCTCAGGTCAGCTATTTCTAGGGGTTTCTCCAGCCTGATCTTGACCCCTTTGCTCATCACTCCTCCCTCTCAACAACTGGATTCCAGGAGTTCAGCTCAGTGTTTAGCTGTGGGTGTCTGCTTCTGTTTCCATCAGCTACTGGATGAAGGCTCTAGGATGACTTATAAGGTAGTCATCAATCTCATTATTGGGAAAGGGCATTTAAGGTAGCCTCTCCACTATTGCTTAGATTGTTAGTTGGGGTCATCCTTGTGGATCTCTGCACATTTCCATAGTGTCAGATTTCTTCTATAATAGCTCCCTCTATTATGGTATCTCTTTTCTTGCTCTCCTCTAGTCTTCCCCTGACACAATCTTCCTGCTCCCTCATGTCCTCCTCTCCCCTCCTCTTCTCTCCTTCTCTTTCTCCACTTTTGTTTATGCTACATTTATTTAATTATGTAAAGATGTGTTGCTGTTTCTCCTTGCTTGCCTAAGGAGCCTGATTGGTCTAATAACGAGCTGAATGGCCAAAGCTAGGAAAGAAAGGATAGTGGGGCTGGTGGGCAGGGAGAATAAAAAGGAGGAGGACTCTAGCCTCTAGGGGGAGGGACAGAGAAGAGGAGGAGAGAACAGGGACACCGCCCAGGGCAAAATTCCAGGCAGCTGTCAGTGAGCAGACTCTAGAATCAGTGAAAGTAAGATAACAAGAAGAACCGTAAAAAGCCCCAAGGCGAAGGTAGATAAAGAGAAACAGGTTAACTTAAGCTAAAAGACCTAGCCAAAGCTCGACAGAACATTCAAAGCTAATAACAAGTCTCTGTGTGATGATTTGGGAGCTTATGGCCCAAAAAGAAAAGGCCTGGTGCACCTCAGCAATGAAGCACTGTGATTACAAGACCATGTCACACGGTCACACGGTCACATGGCTGGCATAACACAGTCACTTCTGTCTGCAAAGCACTTCAGCTTTCAGGATACTTTAACATCTACTCCTTTATCTGGAATTCTAGCACTTTGGAGGCTGAGGCAGGATTGCTGTGAGTCTGAGGCCAGCCTGGGCTACACAGTGAATTCCGGCCATCCCGGCCTACAGAGTGACATCCTATCTCACAACATTATTTTTCAATTTTTTTCCTCACATCAAACTCAGTACGGAGAATACTGAGGAGAGAGTCAGGAGCAAAGTTTCCTTACATAGGATCAACCAAGTAAAGAACCTTTTATATTGTTTCTCGAAAATTCTCTGTTCCTTTGAGGAGTATGCGGTTCCATTTTGAGGCAGTCCAAGCTAGCCTGGAACACCAGCCTGCTTCAACTTCCAGAGAGCTACTGTTTACAGCTTCGTGTCATCATGCATAATTCACAATGTATTCTTAGATAATATAGGCTTTGATGACATACTCTGAAGAACACACAACTATGAGATAGAGCTGTTTGGAACCTAGTGTTTCTACTTTGAAGTTCCTGGGGGTCCCTGAAGACCCAGTTAGTTCATTGACACCAGATGGACAGATTTGTCTGTTTTGTTTCCCAGTCCAGACTGATGCGAAGGAACACTTCCTGACTTTCAGCCCACACAGCATCAGACCACTTTGCAATCTTTAAAAAGATGTAACTGTGTGCATCGTGCTGGGGGGGAGGAGTATGGACATGGAGGTCAGAGATATTGGATCTCTGGAGATGGCGTGACAGAGGAGAGTGAGCCACCTTTTGTGGGTGCTGAAAATAAACCTGAGTCTCCTGCAGGAGCATGACTGCTCTTAACCACCCAGCCCTCTCTCTAGCCTCTGACTTGCAGTCTATCTAAAACATGTTAACAAGATAAATAGTCTAAAACATGTTAACAAGATAAATAGTCTATCTAAAACATGTTAACAAGATAAATAATCTATCTAAAACATGTTAACAAGATAAATAGTCCCATATCTTCTTGTATTACCTAATTGTTCTATTTTCCTTAGATTCCACAAGATAATATTACCTGGGCATGGTAGCACACACCTGTAATCCAGGCATTTGGGAGGCTGAGAAAGGAGGACTGACTTCAAAACAGCCTGGCCTACATACAAAGACCGAAAACAAAACAAAGCAAAATAGAGCGACAGCAAAAACCCAGAGGAACTCAATAGACTCCCACCAACTGTGGGGTTTTGTTCTTGTTTTGTTTTGGTTTTGGTTTTGTTTGTTTGTTTTGTTTTGTTTTTCAAGGCAGGGTTTCTCTGTGGCTTTGGAGGCTGTCCTGGAACTATATCTTGTAGACCAGGCTTGTCTCGAACTCACAGAGATCCACCTGCCTCTGTCTCCCAAGTGCTGGGATTAAAGGTGTGTGCCACCACTGCCCTGCAACTCTCAACAATTGTTAAGGACAGTTTATTCTACAAAGTCATAGACATACGCTAGCAAGCTGCGGATCTGCCGAGACTCCAAGCCGGGCCTTTTATTTTATTTTTTTTAGATTTATTAACTTTATTATTGTATGTGTATGAGCATTTGCATGCATATATGTAGTGCACCGCGTGCATGCCTCTGGTGCACTCGGAAATCAGAAGAGGGCATCAGATCTCCCCGCGGATGGAGTTACAGATGGTGTGGGAATGATGTGGGTGCTGAGAATCCTCAAAGGGCAGATACCGCTCTTAATTGCTGAGCCATCCTCCGGCACCCTCCAGCCTGTCTTAAGATAGACTGGTCTGGGCTTCTGTTCCCTCAGCCCACCCACCTTCCAAGGCCTACCAGAAAATAACGGATGAGCCGAACTTGAGCAGCCATACATCCCATTCATCACTTATCCAAACAACCCCCTTTTGCTTCTTAGGGATAGTCTTAAAGCACAATACCTTTGCACTGGACATCTGGTCCCTTTAAGGACATAATGGCCAGCCCCGCCTCCCTCCCACCTCTCTGCAAGGCTGTTATAAGTGGACCACTGTTTTATGTCCTCGGACAATTAACCGCGTGACACTCTTCTTGCCTCCTCCAGGTTCGTGGGATTGGGAATTTGGCCTCGTAACTTGGCAACCACTGAACTACCCGCCGAAGGTGACTGTAGGGGGCGTTGGGGTTTGTGCTTTACGGTTGGGTTACTCTGAGTTCTTAACGGTAGCTGGCTGCAAAGCCAAGCGTCACCGCCCCCGTTGCCATAACAACAGTATACAGCCCGGACACCTCACCCCCATCCCGCCCCTTTGCGTCTTCCAAAAAGCAGTCCTGCCTGGCGTCTCAGCACCAAAATCCTCTCCATAACTACTTCTAGAGGAAGAGAACCAGGGTCTGCGCCTCCCTGCAAAGGCGAATTGGGTTGGAGGGTTGGAAACTGTGCGTCTGCGCAATAGTGTTAAACAGAGCAATCTATCGCATTAGAATAGAAGCAAAGGATGGAGTAGGGGTTGGGGGTGGAAGGGAACCTGGAGGTGAGGTGTAGGTAAGGAAGGGGAGGAAGGTTTGGTAGTGGGAGATTTTAGGAAGACATGCAGGACTCTTTCAAAGGGAATTCAGGAAGCAGGGACACGGGGTTGCTGGGGCAGAGCTGGAGTCAATGTGAAGGCAGGAAAGGTCCAGGAGTAGGAGAAAGGGGTCCAGTAGGGAGTGGGGTCCTCCAAGCAGAGGTTGGGAGTCCAGAGATGTTCTCCAGGGTGAGGAAAGACGCACAGGTGGCAGGTCAGCAGCGACGGGGCTGTACAGGGGACCTGTAAATGGAGGGCTTGGTGGCGTGGGAACTTAAGACCTCCTTTCTCAGCACCAGGACTGAATTTCATCTGACTCAAGAGGGCAGAGGGGAGAACGATGTCGGATGAAGATGATCTGGACGACATTGAGCCTGACCAGGATGACCTGGAGAAAGATGAGGATGACAAGGAGATGGAGGAGTGGGATGACTACAGGAAGGAGGGGGAGGAAGTCTCCGAGGAAGTGAGAGCCTGGGGGAGGGGTCCTGGGGCCCTGGGGCTGGAGGGGAGCTGTAAAGAGATGCCTTTACCTTCTCTTGCAGTGGCAGCCCACACCACTCACGGAGGCCATGATGAAGGAAGGGCTGTCTTTACTCTGCAAGACGGGCAATGGACTGGCTCACGCTTATGTTAAGCTGGAGGCTAAAGACAGGTGCGGACTGAGAAACGGGAGCGCCACAAGCCTCCCTTCTCTGGTTCCTGAGTGTTTGGACAGAGCTTGTCTCTTTCATCTGATCTAATGGGAAGACAAGGATGAAAAGATGCCCTCGGTGTCCATGATCTGGTTGTGCCTTGCACATGCTGGACAGGCAGTTTTTTCCCCACTAGGTCTCCAAGCTAGAATGAAGCTTTGTCTAGTATGTGCAGGCACTGGTTTTCATCTCCGCCCTGAAAAATCAGAACAAAGCTCCACCTGCCTCCTCTTCCCCCTCCCACTCTGTCATCTCTTTGTTGAGCACCTTTGCCAGCTCTTGCTGGGTTCTTATCCTTTCTGGTGGCTCTTCCCCCTGCCGTCTCCTAGGGACCTTACAGACATCTACCTGTTGCGCTCCTACATCCACCTTCGCTATGTGGATATTTCTGAGAATCACATTACAGACCTGTCGCCACTCAACTTTCTCACCCACCTACTATGGCTCAAGGCTGATGGTAACCAGCTTCGGAGTGCTCGGCTGAACGAACTGCCCTACCTGCAGATCGCCAGTTTTTCCTACAATCAGATTATGGACACTGAAGGCATTTTTCATCCCCGTCTAGGAAGCCTTGACCTCAAAGGTGGGTCCTTGGGAAGAGATACACAGAACTTTCCTTCCAAGCTTGGGGCTGACAGAAGTAAGCAGTGTATTATGGCGGGAGGAGACAGGAGCTCAGTGCAGCCTGAGATTTGGTGGAGACAGATGCAGTCTGGAGAGGCAGTCTGAGGACAGGATCGTCCCTTTAATCTGAGCATTGGTGGAGGTAAGAACTCTCTAGTGGCTGGCTGCTCTGTTTTTGTGATCTTCTGGTAAGCTCTATTTGGTAGATCATAAACAGAATATCACCACACTTCCCCTTTTTTGTCTAAAATATCACCACAGTATAGGACTCTTGGCTGAGTCACACAACTATCTATGGATTCACTCATTTATTTGTTAGGATACATGCAGAACTGGGGATATAATTCAGTATTAAAGCCTTGCCTATGCTGGGCATTGGTGGCCCACACCTTTAATCCCAGCAGAGGCAGAGGCAGGTGGATCTCTGAGTTTGAGGCCAGCCTGGTGTACAGAGCTAGTTCCAGTACAACCTCCAAAACAAAACAGAGAAACCCTGTCTTGAAAAACAAAAACAAACAAACAAAAAATACTTACATGAGGGATGTCCAAAAAAGGCACTTATTATATAGTTCGCTATGATATTATTTTTTAATTTTATTTTTAAATCTGCATGTGCGTGAATATGTACAGGTGTCTGTGGAAACCAGAAGAAAGTGTCAGGTCTCCTGCGATCTGCCTGATGTGGTTGCTGGGAATTGAACCCAGGTCTCCTGGAAGAGCAACCAGTGCTCTTAAACACTGAGCCATCTCTCCAGCCTCTCCTTATAATATTCTTTATGCCAGTTCTTCAAGCTAGAGATACAGCAATGAGCAAAACCAAAAATCTCTATTATGTAGAGTCCATTCTGGTTTAGGGTGATGGACAATTAACGATGATCATAATAAGTAATCACAAGGCAGGCTTGGTGGCCGGCAACATGCTGGAGGCTAAAGCAAGATTGCTAGAGTTCAAGGCCAGTCTGGCTTCATAGGGAGTTACCGGTCAGCTTGGCCTACAGAGTAGCATCCTGTCTAAAAAAAAAAAAAAAAGAAAGAAAACATAACTCAAAAAGGATATAAATTCTATAGAAAAATATATTGTGGAAATGCCATTGTGAAAGGCACAGGTGACACACTCTCTCTCTCTCTCTCTCTCTCTCCCTCTCCCTCTCTCTCTCTCTCTCTCTCTCTCTCTCTCTCTCTCTCTCTCTCTCTCTCTCTCCCTCTCCCTCTCTCTCTCTCTCTCTCTCTCTCTCTCTCTCTCTCTCTCCCTCTCTCTCTCTCTCTCTCTCTCTCTCTCCCTCTCTCTCTCTCTCTCTCTCTCTCTCTCTCTCTCTCTCTCTCTCTCTCTCTCTCTCTCTCTCTCTCTCTCTCTCTCTCTCTCTCTCTGTCTCTCTCTCTCTGTCTCTCTCTCCCTCCCTCTCTCTCTCTCTCTGTCTCTCTCTCTCTGTCTCTCTCTCTCTCTCTCTCTCTCTCTCTCTCTCCCTCTCTCTCTCTCTCTCTCTCTCTCTCTCTCTCTCTCTCTCTCTCTCTCTCTCTCTCTCTCCCTCTCTCTCTCTCTCTCTGTCTCTCTCTCTCTCTCTGTCTCTGTCTCTCTGTCTCTGTCTCTGTCTCTCTCTCTCTCTCTCTCTCTCTCTCTCTCTCTCTCTCTCTCTCTCTCTGTGTACAAAGGATTGAATCTAGGGCCTTGTGAATGCCAGGCAAGGACTCTCCCACTAACCCATATTCCCAGTTCAATTATAACTTTTTTTTTTTTTTTTCGAGACAGGGTTTCTCTGTGGCTTTGGAGGCTGTCCTGGAACTCGCTCTGTAGACCAGGCTAGCCTCGAACTCACAGAGATCCGCCTGCCTCTGCCTCCCGAGTGCTGGGATTAAAGGCGTGCGCCACCAACGCCCGGCTTCAATTATAACTTTTTAATATTATTATTTAATAAGATTTTTAAAGGTTTATTTATGTATTTTATGTATGAATGTTTTGTCTGCATGCATACCTACACACCAGAAGACAGCATTGAATCCTATTATAAATGGTTGAAAGCCATTATATGGTTGCTGGGAATTGAACTCAGAACCTCCAGAAAAGCAGCCAGTGCTCTGAGCCCCTGAAACATCTCTCCAGCCCCAACTTACTTTTAATTTTGAGATAGGGTCTCATAAGTTTCCCACGCTTGGCTTGAACTCGCTCACTGCATAGTAGCCCAGGAAGGCCTTAGATTTATGAGTCTGCCACTTCAGGCTCCTGGGTAACTGGAACTATAGGATTGAACCACCAGGCCCAGCACAGATGACAATTTCAAAACGGTTGTTTAGGGAAAACATCACTTGACCAAAAATGTGCAGGAGGAAGGAAGTCCTTGTTGGAGGGAAGGAGTGTATTGCTTAGGCATCACTAAGTCATTCGCGAAGTACAGACAGACAAACCCTTCCTGCTCACTTGCCTCGGGGCTCCAAAGACACTATTCTGGGCTGTTCCTCCTCCCCTTCTACCCTGCGTTAGAGGGAGAGAGGAGGGGGGCAAGATTTCTAACACTGAATGTTCCAAATGGACCTGTGAGTGTGTGCTTCCTTCATCTTCTGCAGGGAACCGCATCCACCATATCACGGGGCTGGACCCTGAGAGGTTGGTTAGCCTGCACACCCTGGACCTTCGGGGGAACCAGCTAGAAAGCACACAGGGAATCAACCTTCCTAAGCTGAAGAGTCTCTTCCTGGTAGCGCACTGGGCCCTAGGGTGGTGCAGGGAAGGGAGCACAGCCCTGGCTTCCCGCAGGCTCAGTTGCTAGCTTCACCACCGTGAGGGCGGCGAGCCCTTGCACGGTGTCGGATACAGTGGCGATGTGAAGATAAGACAATACAGGCTTACGCCTATATCCCTAGCACTTGGGAGGCTGAGTAAGGAGGACTGCTGAGAGTTAAAGGCCAGCCTAGCCTGCAGAATAAGACTCTGTCTCTTAGCGTGAAAGGGAGAGAATAAGGGAGAGGGAGACAGAAAGGTAGGCTTCCAATCTAGCATTCTACACTATACAATGTGTGGGAAGTGTAGAGAAAATGTTTTGATACAGGTTGTACAGGTTGTTGCAAAATGTGCTATTCAGATAATGAAAGCAGGCCAAGGAGGCCACTTAAATATTTATTTTGTATTTATTTGTTTATTTATTGAGACAGAGTCTTTAGAGGTGGGGGAGGGGTCAAGACAGGGTTTCTCTATAGTCTTGGTTGTCCTGGAACTTGCTCTATAGACCAGGCTGGCCTAGAACTCCACCTTCCTCTGCCTCCCAAGTGCTGTGATTAAAGGTGAGCACTACCACCACCTGGCCTGAAACAGGGTCTTATATAGTTCTGAAATAACTATGTAGTTGAGGATTACCTTGAATTCCTTCTGGTCTTCCTGCCTCTACCTCCCAAGTGCCAGGATTCCCATATGGACCATTATAATCAACTATACTTTTGGTTTTGATTTTGTTTTTTGTTGTTGTTGTTTTGTTGGTTTTTTGTTTGTTTGTTTGGTTGGTTGGTTTTGATTGACAGGGATTCTTTGTAGCCCTGGTTGTCCTGGAACTTTCTCTGTAGACCCGGTTGACCTCAAACTTAAAGATCTGACTGCCTCTGCCTCCCAAGTGCTTGAATTAAAGGCACGGGCCACCACTGCCCAGCTATGATGTGCTGTTTTTACTTTGTATGCTCCTGTCCGTATGAGCACACAAGCACACATGTGCATGCTGTCTTTACATTGTATGTTCCTGTCTGTGTGCACACATGTGCATGCTGTCTTTACTTTATGTTCCTGTCTGTGTGCACACATGTGCATGCTGTCTTTACATTGTATGTTCCTGTCTGTGTGCACACATGTGCATGCTGTCTTTACATTGTATGTTCCTGTCTGTGTGCACACATGTGCATGCTGTCTTTACATTGTATGTTCCTGTCTGTGTGCACACATGTGCATGCTGTCTTTATGTTCCTGTCTGTGTGCACACACATGCATGCTGTCTTTACTTTGCATGTTCCTGTCTGTGTGCACACATGCGCATGCAAGTGAGCAGCTGTGCTGTGTGTGGAAGCCCCAGGTGGACATCGAGCATTGTCCTCGGTGGCTTTCTGCCTTGAGTTCTGAGACAGGGTCTCTCACAGAACTCAAGCTCCTGATTAATTAGTCTGTCTGGCCTATGGGCTCCAGGGATCTGCCTGTCTCTGCAGACAGTGCACCCCCAGGCTTGATTTTTTATATGAGTGCTGGGGACAGGGACGTGGGTCCCTGTGCTTGAATGCCAAGAATTTTACTGACTGAGCCATCTCCATGGCCTGTGTTTTGTCTGTTTGTTTTTGATTTGATTTAAGAGTCATACCATGTAGTCCTGGCTGGCCTAGAACTCATAGCAATCCTCTTGCCTCAGTCTCCCGTGGCTGGGACTTGCAGGTATGTGTCACAATATCTCATTTTGTTTTATTACTTTTTTGACATTTTTTTTAAATTCTAGGTTTATTTTTTTTAAAGATTTATTTATTTATTACTTATACACCAGATTGAATTGTAGATGGTTGTCAGCCACCATGTGGTTGCTGGGAATTGAACTCAAGACCTCTGGAAGAGCAGTCACTGCTCTTAACCTCTGAGCCATCTCTCCAGCCCCCTTTTTTGACATTTTTTATTTAAATTATAAACAAACTTGCTTGACATGTCAATCCCAGCTCCTTCTCCCTTCCCTTGTTTTATTACTTTACTTTTTAAAAATATTTATTTTATGTATATGAATGTTTTGTCCGTATGTATGTATGTACACATGTGTGTATGCATGTATGTATATATGTATGTGTGTGTGTATATGTATGTGTAGTGCCATGTGTGTGCCTGGTGCCCCTGGAGATCAGGAAGGAGGTCAGATCCCCTGGAACTGGAGTCACAGATGGTTGTGAGCTGCCGTGTATGTGCTGGGAACTGAACCTGGGTCTTCTGAAACAGCAGCAGGTGCTCTTCACTGCTGAGTCGTTGTCTGGCTCCAGGTTTGCTTTACTTTTGAGACAGGATCTCCTTGTATAGTCTACACTGGTCCTTATGTAGCTGGGGTCACAGCTGTGCACTGTCATACCAGCCTCTAAGTGTCTGTCCCTTTAGGCTGGACTGGTACAACAGCCACTCCTTGATGAGTGAATGGGGCTCGGGGCTAAGGGCAGGTTCAAGCAGCCCTTCTGTAGTCGGAGATGGCCTTGATGGGATGGGTATCAAGAGAATACAGCTGAGCCTTGGTTGTAGTGGTAGCTCTTTCCTCTTTTCTTTTTCCTTCCTTTGGTCTACCTTTTTTTCTTCCCTTTCCTTTCCTTGTTTTTGTTTTTGTTTTTTTTTTGCACACACTGTAGGAGTGTGCTAACACCAAACTCTCTAACTAGCCCAGAAACTATTATGTGTTTATAGTTTCCAATAGCATGTTTTAAAATTGTTTTTGTCATCATCATCGTTATTTATTTATTTTTTGTAGTTCTGGGAAATCTAGTCTTTAGACTTCTTTGTCTTTTAAATTAAAATTACTTTACAGTGACTTCTTTATGGGGCATGCGGATGGAGTCAGGGATGACTTGCAGGAGTTCTTTTTCCACCGGGTGGGTACTGGGGGACAGATCCTGTTGTCGGGTCTGGCTCATAGAGCAATCCTGCTGATCCCTTCTTTGTTTGTTTTTGGAGGGTGGTATTTGAAATAGGGTGTCCCACTATAGTCCAGGCATGCTTGGAGACCCACTAAGTAACCCAGGCTACAATCTCCCTGCCTCTGCCTCCTGAATACTAGGATTTTGGGAGTGGGCCACCACACCTAGTTTTGGACTTTTTTTTTTTCTTCCAGACAGGGTTTCTCTGTATTGTTTTGGAGCCTGTCCTGGAACTCTCTCTGTAGACCAGGCTGGCCTCGAACTTACAGAGATCTGCCTGCCTCTGCCTCCCGAGTGCTGGGATTAAAGGTGTGCGCCACCACCGCCCGGCTTAGTTTTGGGCTTCTTTATCCTCTATACCACACTCTCTTATCTGTCCCTACTCTCCTCCACTCCTCCCTCTCGACTTGGATTTCTTCTTTGCTTTATCATCCTTTCCTCACTCCCCTCCTTCTGCTCCCCTCGCTGAGTCAGTGTATTGTATGCTGGGGTGCAGGCGCAGAACATGCTGAAGAAGGTAGAGGGCCTGGAGAACCTCAGCAACCTGACCACCTTGCATCTCCGAGATAACCAGATCGAAACTCTGGATGGCTTCTCCAAGGAGATGAAGTCACTGCAGTACCTGAACCTGAGGTATGGGACGCCTCCTCTCTAAGACCCACCTTGCACCTGTCCATCACCAAGAGCAGCTTCTGAGTCAGTGGTCCTCTCCCAACAGCCCATGGCTGGGTCCTTACCTTCTGAGTCAGTGGTCCTCTCCCAACAGCCCATGGCTGGGTCCTTACCTTCTGAGTCAGTGGTCCTCTCCCAACAGCCCATGGCTGGGTCCTTACCTTCTGAGTCAGTGGTCCTCTCCCAACAGCCCATGGCTGGGTCCTTACCTTCTGAGTCCTGCCTCTGCTTTCCTTTCTTTCTTCGGAACTTAGTTCAAAGAGCAACACAAACATTTTCTTGGGAAGTCTGAGTCCTTATGTTAATTCAATCCAGAATGAAGAAGAACATACTGTATTTACTGAGGCCTATTCTGTGTTTTAGAACCATCTAAAAGAATCAGAAATGGTCCCTGTTTCCCCTTCATTTTCTTTTTTGGTTTGGACAGGGTTTCTCTGGACTTGACCTCAAAGATCCTCCTGCCTCTGCCTCCTGAGGAGGGCTGGGACTAAAGGTATATGCCACCATGCTTGGCTACTTTTTCTTTTCTTTTTTAATTGTATTTTTGTTTTGTTTTGGGGTTTCTTTTTATTTAAATTAGAAACAAGCTTGTTTGACATGTCAATCCCAGTTCCCTCTCCCTCCCCTTCTCCCCTGCCCCCCACTAGCCCCCTATCCCATCTCCTTTTTGCTCCCCAAGGAGGGTGAGGCCTTCCATGGAGGATCTTCAAAGTCTGTCACATCATTTGGAGCAGGGCCTAGGCCCTCCCCCATGTGTCTAGCCATGTGGAATGGGCTCCCAAAGTCCATTCGTGTGCTAGGGATAAATACTGATCTACTGCCAGAGGCCCCATAGATTGCCCAGGCCTCCTCACTGACACCCATGTTCAGGGGGCCTGGATCAGTCCCATGCTGGTTTCCCAGCCATCACTCTGGGGTCCATGAGCTCTTGTTTTTTTTTTTTTACATTCCAATTCCAGCTCCCCCTCCCACCTCTCCTCCTGCTCTCCCCTCCTTCCCCGCATCCCACCCACCATCCACTCCTCAGAGAGAGTAAGGCCTCCCCTGGGATGTCAACTAAGTCGGTCCCACCACCTTGTTGAGGCAGGAGCAAGGTGCCCGCATGTCTAGACTGAGAAGGTGTCTCTCCATAGAGAGTGGGCTTCACAAAGTCAGTTTATGCATTAGAGTCAGATCTTGGTCCCACTTTAGCTCCCTTTTCATTTTTAAACATGAGGGTCTTACGTTACCCAGGCTGACCCCAATCTCTACCCAGCTGCCCAGGAAGCTGAGAGAGGCATCCACCACTATGTTGCTAGTCCCTGCTTTTTAACTCCAGTGCCTTTTCCTGTCTGTATCCTATATAAACACCATTCTGTTTCCTAGGCCCCAGCCACCCTTTCAATTCTTGTCTCTTTTTTTCCTGAACTGAGCACTCCCTGTAGATGACAGCCCTTAACTGATGTTAAACACTAGATGAAGCAGGCACAGGGCTGGAGAGATCCCTCAGAGGTTAAGAGCACTGACTGCTCATCCAGAGGTCCTGAGTTCAATTCCCAGCAACCACATGGTGGCTCACAGCCATCTGTAATGAGATCTGATACCCACTTCTGGCCTGCAGGTGTACATGCAGACAGAGCGATTCCTAAAAAGATACATAAATCAATAAAAAGTAAAAAAAAAAAAAAAAAGATGAAGCAGGCTGAGCCAGGTGGTGGTGGCACACGCCTTTAATCCCAGCTCTTGGGAAGCAGAGGCAGGCGGGTCTCTGTGAGTTCCAAACCAGCCTGATCTCCAGAGCAAGTTCCAGGACAACCTCCAAAGTCACAGAGAAACCCTGCCTTGAAAAACAAAAACGAAACAAAACAAATCAAAAAAAGATGTAGCAGGGCAATGATGGCACATGCCTTTAACCCCAGCAGTCAGGAGGCAGAGGCAGGAGGATCTCTGAGTTTGAGGCCACCCTGGTCTACAGAGCAAGTTCCAGGACAGCCAGGGCTACACAGCAAAAGCCTGTCCTGAAAAACCAGAAGAGAAAAACTCAAGGCTGGCTGTGGTAGCACATGCCCATAATCCTAGCACTCAGAAGTCAAAGGCAGGAGAAGAGGATTGCTACAAGCTGGAGTTGGTAGCCAGGCCTAAAGAGTGAGTAGTTCTGTGCCAGCTAGGGTACACAGGAAGACAAACAAAACAACCCCCCCAAATAAACAACAGCAAAACCAAACCAAAACAATGACAGCAACAAAAGCCTGGGGCATGGCTCGTGTCTATAATTCCAGCACCTAGGAGGATGAGGCAAGAGGATTTCAGTGAATCAAGGACAGCCTGCGCTGCACAGCCAGGCTCTGTGTCAAGCCTCTCACATACACATGGGGGGGGGAGGAGGAAGGAATCAGATGACTGGACACACACAGGCCCAGAGGGATTTTTCTCTTAGCACCTCTTTTCTGATGAACAATTCTTAGTTTTGTTTTGTTTTGTTTTTTGTGGTTCTATCAATCAAACCCAAGCCCTCATACATGTGAAATATGTGCAGAGCCCAATAAAATGCCAATAGAGCTCAAAGTAAGAAATGTTCCTCGAGGCCCACAATATCTATTGAGATTAGTCTGGCATACTTAAAAAGGATTTCATAAATGTTTGAAAGCCAGGAATATGCCATTGCATACAGAGTCTCAGGAGTCTGAGTTAAAGGACTGACCTTTTTATTCAGTCTGGGAGACCCAATCCATCCCTAGTTCTGGGTTCCTTTCTGTGGGAAGCATCCACACAACACCCCAACTCCACAGCACCCCACACTTAAGTACGAACTTCTTCCCTGCTGACCTAACCCTTCAAACCTCTGGTGTGATTTGGCTGACACAGAAAATGTCTGCTCCTATAAAGGACGCTTGTCCTTCCTTTCCAAATACAAGACAGGATGAGGCCTAATGTTGCTGCTCCAAAGTTTGTTCTATCTATCTATCTATCTATCTATCTATCTATCTATCTATCTATCTATCTATCTGTCTATCTGTCTATCTGTCTATTTATTTATTTTTGGTTTTTCGAGACAGGATTTCCTTGTGGTGTTAGAGGTTGTCCTGGAACTTGCTCTGTAGACCAGGCTGACCTCGAACTCACAGAGATCTGCTATCTCTGCCTCCCCAGTGCTGGGAAATTTTGTGTTTTGCTTTTTGTTTTTTGGTTGGTTGGTTGGTTGGTTTGGTTTTTTTGGTTTTTCGAGACAGGGTTTCTCTGTGGCTTTTGAAGCTGTCCTGGAACTAGCTCTTGTAGACCAGGCTGGCCTCAAACTCACAGGCTGCCTCTGCCTCCCAAGTGCTGGGATTAAAGGCAAGTGCCACCAACGCCCGGCTGTGCTGGGAAATTTTAAGGTGCTACATCACAGGACAGAGGCTGGCAGAGGGATTCCTAGAAGGGCAGAGGCAGGACTAGGGAATTGCATCCAGGGAAGGCTGGCCACACTTGGCAGACCAGTCCTCAACAGTCATGGCTTTTAGGGCTCAGCCAGATGTTCTTACAGAGGAAGCCCAATTCCTAGCTAGCAATCAAAGCCCAATTCCTAGCTAGCAATCAAAGCCCATAGCCTAGCTAGCAAAGTTCCTGACTTAACCCTTGTGACCTCCTCCGTAGGAGTAACATGATTAGTGACCTGGGGGAGCTGGCCAAACTGCGGGACCTGCCCAAGCTGCGAGCCTTGGTGATGTTAGACAACCCGTGTGCAGATGAGACCGACTACCGCCAGGAGGCCCTGGTGCAGATGGCACACCTGGAGCGCCTGGACAAGGAGTTCTTTGAGGATGAGGACCGGGCTGAGGCTGAGGAGATCCGTCAGAGACTGAAGGAGGAACAGGAACAGGATCTGGAGGCAGATCATGACTTGGAACCACTCACACCACCAGCTTAGCCGCTCCTCCAGCCTACAGGACTGAGCAAACGTAAGGGAGACGGCGGGAAGGTCAAAGGCTGGGCACACAGAAGAGGCCAGGAGAACCCTTAGCAGAGACCAGACTTAGGGATCGGAGGTATCTTAGGTATGACGGAAAGATAGAGGCCCAGGAAGAGCTGATAAAGGACAAACGGAACCCGAAAGGTAGGAGAATTGGAGTGGCAGGCGGAAGGAAGGGCTGGGGTGCAGACAGCAGACGGTTATAAAGGGACAGGTCTGGGGGCATGGAGGAGCTCAGCGGGGCAGGGGGTGGCTGGTGGTATCTGGCTGATGCAGCTGGGCCAGGGCAAATATCCTGCGCTAAAAATCTGAGTCTGGGGAGGCGAAAGGAGGGCAGAGTGAAGCAGAGACCGAGATGGAGCCTAGGGCTGTGGGCATTTCCGGTGGGGCACGAGCTTCACTTCTGTCTTCTTCCAGGAGACCGTTGACCCTGGCCTCGAGAACTGATGAGACTCCAGCGGGAGACCACCACATTCATAGCCCTGTGACAGGAATCAGGGCGTGCTGCCCTTTGTTCCAGAACTGGAAATCCATCATATCCCAAGGCTCAGGCTCTTTGGTGGTCATCTTTGTGTGGCTTGTTCTATGGGCCTAAACTGTGTGGAGTCTAGTTCGAGGACAGCCCACAAGCGGGTCCGGGGCAACCAGGATGCTAGCAGGGGTTGTCTGGAGAAAGGAGCTGAGGCGGTGGGCTGTGATGGGACAGTTCCGGTTTCAAATAAAAAGGTGTTTTGATATTCTTGTGTCTGACGGAGCTCATGAGCCCCCGTGGTGGGCTTATCCACCAGCATGGGTCAGTCCCCGCCGCGGTACTGGAGTGAGGCCGGCGCCTGCTTCACTCAGGTTCGCTGGACATGGGTTATGAGTGAGTGCCAGTGCGCTTACAGGGTGGCCATCCTGGTCCTGGATCGCCCCGGCCCCTCCCCCGGCCGTTCGGTTCCCCACCACCACCCGCGCTCGCTCGTACGTGCGTCTCCGCCTGCAGCTCTTGACTCATCGGGGGCTCCGGGTCACATGCGCCCGCCTCTATAGGCACCGCCCCCTGCCCGCCCCCAACCCCCCTCCCGCCTGCGCTGGAAGCCGCAGCCACCGCCACTCCTGCTCTCTCTGCGCCGCCACCGTCACCACCGCCACCGCCACCGGCTGAGTCTGCAGTCCTCGAGGTGAGGCCCGCATCGGGCCGCATCCCCCTTACGCTTTCCTCGTCGCGTTCACTCCCCGCTGTGCTGGGCTTGGCGCGCCGGGCGGTGACGCTGCATACCTGCCTGTCACCTGCCCTCCCCGGCACCCTCCATCCCCGGCCTTCCCGGACAGCTCCCGGCTCTCTGGCTCTTACCTCCTCCAGGTTTAGGTACCAGCTCTCTGCACCCGCTTCTCTAACTGCACGGTTCCACCCTCGCCTGCCCCTCTCCCCACTCCGGTCTTCGCCTAGGGTCCTGCCAATTTGTTTCTTAAGTTCGATGTCTTGGCGGGCGGCGCGTGTTTTCCTGGCGCGTCCTTTTTGCCTAGGGTCTGGGGAGACACCTTCTCTCACCCTTCCTTGGCTGCCTCAGCCTTGCTCTAGACTCGTCCTTCTCTGCCTCCTTCTCTTTGCCTCTCTCCTTTGACATTTCCTTTTCTCCGATGCATGGGGGAGGGATGAGTAGGGTAGGGAATTTGGGGGTAGGGAAGATGATGGGTCCAGCCTGGACTACCTCACCATTCCCCACTGCAGCCTCTAGGGACTGGAGCCTGACCCCAGGATGCTGTCCCCAGACTCCTCTTGAAAAGAGGAGGAACTCATATTTGGGAGACAGGTGATGACCCTGGAGTGTATTATAGACCCTGTGTATGGGGACTGTCAAGTTGGGGCTCCGCTTGTTCAGACAACCCCGCTTCTTCCTGTTCCAACATCCATGGAAAAAATGCCAGCCTGGCAGCCATCCTGCTTGGGGAAGTCTAGGGGAACCCCACTGTCGGTGAAGCTGCCGAGGGGCGAAGAAATCGCTGCCTGTGCCCCTCCCCTCTTCACTGCGGTGTTCTCCCAATCTTGTCATGAAATGTACCCCGCCCCTGCTGCAGTGACCTCCCCTTCCTCACTGCATTGACCTTTCCCTCTCGCCGTGGGGGAGGGAAACCCCTTCTTCAGAGGCTGACTGCAGCCTGCTCCTCCCCACCCCCTACCCACTGCAGTAACCTCTTTCCCGGCCCTCCCTGCCTCTGGCCCCTCCCACTGGCCTCAGGCTCCACCCTTCTAAGCCTCTGATCTTTCTGCTTCCTCCACTTCCACTCAAGGAGATCCCAACCATCATCATGTCTATAGAGAAGATCTGGGCCCGAGAGATCTTGGACTCCCGTGGGAATCCCACCGTGGAGGTGGATCTCTATACTGCCAAAGGTGATGGGCGGGGCATGGGCTTCCCACGGCCCCCATTCTCCCTATGTTGGGTCTGGCAGGTTTCATACCCAGGGGTCAGGGGGTGCTACTCCAGGTTCCAAAGGCTGGATTGTGGAGTCTGAATTTCCTTGACTTTTGGAGCCAGGCTAGACGGGTCTGTGTTCTAGTTCAGAATGCCTCTGTCTGTGTGCCTGTGCGAGCCCAGGAGCACGCATGCTCGGTCTAGCGCAGCTTTGTTTCTGTGGCCTCCCACATGTGCCTGTGAGGTCTCAGATGGGCGGATGAGGGGGCCCTGCTTGTACAGCTGGCACAGTGTACGTGCGTGTGTGCGCAAATCTGCGAGTGGTGTCAGGGAGCAGTGTGGAGAGAAGTCTGGACGTGGCTCGTAGGAGTTGAGGCTGGAAGGCTCAAAGAAGCCTTGGCCCAGAGCGTCCTCCCTCCTTCCTCCTTGTGTCTTCCTCCAGGTCTTTTCCGGGCTGCAGTCCCCAGTGGAGCCTCCACTGGCATCTATGAGGCCCTGGAGCTAAGGGATGGGGACAAGCAGCGTTACTTGGGCAAAGGTGACATCTCTCTTGCAGCATGCCACATCCCCTAGATGCCTCCCCCTCCTTTCCTCGCCACCTCCTCCGGGACTGACCAGGCCATCTTCCTCTCTCTAGGTGTCCTGAAGGCAGTGGACCACATCAACACCACGATCGCACCAGCCCTTGTCAGCTCAGTGAGGCCCGCTCTCTCCTGGGGGTGGCTGCTAGACCAGAATCCTAGAAGAAATCTTGGATCCAGGGAGGGACAAGGGGTTGCAGAAAAGCCCACACTTTAGGAATTGTGGTTACAAAGGGAAGGTGGGAAAAGCACTGCTTGCTGCCCCTGCAGGAGCTCGAGGTCCCTAAAACTGGGAGGGCAGGCCACTGTCACAGGGATCCGATGGGAACCTACTCACATGGAAGACTGTGTGTGAGTGAGGGGACCCTCTGTCTTAGTCCAGCCTCCATCCAGACTCTGGGTAATGGGGCCTCTGCCCACAGGGTCTTTCCGTGGTGGAGCAAGAGAAACTGGACACCCTCATGCTGGAGCTGGACGGGACTGAGAACAAATGTAAGCAGGGCTGGGCTGGGAAGGTTAGGGTAGCACAGAGAATTGAAGGGGCTGGGCTTCAGACACAGCGTCACAGACCTCCTCCTCCCTCACCCAAAGCCACTGCGGATGGTGGGAGCCACATTAGACAGAAAGAGACAGAAAGACAGGAGTTGGATAAGGTAGTCCAGGGGATGTTTAGGGAGAGCTGAGGCCTTCTCTTTATTGTCACCTCCTCCCCCAAACCCACTGTTTGTAGTAGCAAAGGAATGAGTTGCTGCTGGAGGTTGGGGGTGGGGTGGGGATTGGGAAATCTCATTTGCTAGCTTTTCTAGGGAGTATTAGGTCGGGCAAGGGCTACAAGAGAGAGAGACATTTTTGCTCAATGCCTTCCTCTTTAATTTCCCAGCCAAGTTTGGGGCCAATGCCATCCTGGGTGTGTCTCTGGCTGTGTGTAAGGCCGGAGCAGCTGAGAGGGACCTGCCCCTCTATCGTCACATTGCTCAGCTGGCTGGGAACTCAGACCTCATCCTGCCTGTGCCGGTGAGCCTAGCCTCTTCCAGAGGAGGAGGGAGCATGCAGTCTGGTGAGGGATGAGGGAAGAAGGTGAATGGGCAGCTAAAGAGAAAGGATGGGGATGTGAGCCTGGCATTTGCGGGACCTCGGGACCCCGTCCAGGGGTAGGAGGGAAGGGTCTTTGACTCTGACCATCTGTGGCTCCCTAGGCTTTTAATGTGATCAATGGCGGTTCTCACGCTGGAAACAAGTTGGCCATGCAGGAGTTCATGATCCTCCCAGTGGGTGCTGAGAGCTTCCGGGATGCCATGCGACTTGGGGCAGAGGTGTACCACACACTCAAGGGGGTCATCAAGGACAAGTATGGCAAGGACGCCACTAATGTGGGCGATGAAGGTGGCTTTGCTCCCAATATCCTGGAGAACAGTGAAGGTGAGGCCGGGAGCCCTCACTCCAGCTCTGAGTCTCACACTGGGAAAGGAGGCACACGTGGGTCCTGCGGGGTACTTGAACTTGTGAAAATCTCAAGAGGTATCAGCCCTTAGGGTGGACTCAAGAGGCCTTCTGATTTCACACATAGACCTTGGCTATCAGTCTTTTACCTGCTCAGCCTAGCCTCTTAGGGTAGGTCCACACGGGGACTGGTGAGAATATTATTGGGAAGCGGTCTGGGTAAGGTCCATTTCATCCTATAATGGCACAGACTTAGATGACATATACCATGCTGTAGGGAGGTAGTTTCACATCAGTGTCATCCCCGGCCTCTCAGAAGGTGTGTAAGATCACTACATTCTCTGTGCTGCAGAAGGGGGGCTGTAGAAGTTAACAGTAAAGGTTCTAACCCTGGTATGGCTCAGGGTTAGAACACCTGCCTGCTCAGCCTGACTGAAGCCATGACACCACATACAAATGTACACATGTGTGCGTGCACGTGCACACACACACACACAAACACACAAATGCATGCTTATTGGTACACATGTGTGCACAGACTCTGCTCTGGAATCAGATTACTTGCATTTATTTGAACATTGAAGAGTTATTGGCTAGAATCCCCAACACTTGGGAGGCTGAGGCATAAGAGTTGCTATGAGCTTGAAGCCAGCCTGGGCTACATAAAACCATGTCTAAAAAGAAAGAAAAGAGAAGTCATAATAATAAAGATGCAGAAGTGGTCTTTTTAAGAGCCAAGCATTTGCCAGGCAGTGGTAGCACACAGCTTTAATCCCAGCACTTGGGAGGCAGAGGCAGACCAATCTCTGTGAGACCAGCCTGGTCTACAGAGTAAGTTCCAGGACAGCCAGGGCTACATAGAGAAACCCTGTCTCAAAAAATAAAAACAAACAAACAAAACAAGAAAAAAACAAAATAAAATAAAAAATCCAAGCACTTGAGCAGGGCATGGAGGTGTGCACCTTTAATTCCAGGTAGAGGCAGGTGCATCCCTGAGTTTAAGGCCAGCATGGTCTGCCCAGAGAGTTCCAGGTTAGCTAGGGTTACATGGTGAGAACCAGTCTCAAAACGAAATAAAAGGAATAACCCAGCTTCTACAAATATCTTTGAGGACTAAGTGAGATAATATATCTAAAATGGTAATATGATACCATACCAAAGAAACCACCCTTAGGAGCTGGAGAGATGACTCAGTGGTTAAGGACACTGGCTGCTCTTACAGGGGACTCAGGTTCCGTTCTTCACACCCATGTGATTCCAGGGGACCTAACACTCTCTTCTGGTGTCTGTGGGCACCAGCATGGACATGGAGCAGATACATATATGTAGGCAAAATACTTAATACACATAAAACAGGCCGGGCGGTGGTGGCGAACGCCTTTAATCCCAGCACTCGGGAGGCAGAGGCAGGCGGATCTCTGTGAGTTCGAGGCCGGGCTGGACAGATAGCCTCCAAAACAACACAGAGAAACCCTGTCTCGTAAAAACCAAAAAAAAAAAAATACACATAAAACAAAAATAAATCTTAAATAATCTTAAAGCGCGCACACACTGCTAGCCAGGCCTGGTGGTGCAGACCTCCTATCATCCCAACTTAGAGGCTGAGGAAGGAGAACTGAAAGCTCAACTATGCCTAAGCTACAGAGTGAGTTCAAGGCCAGCCTGGATAACTTAGTTAGACCCTTTCTCAAAATGAAAAATAAAAAGGGGTGGGAATGTGACTCAGGCGCAGAGAACTTGCCTCAAAAGAATGAGGCCTTAGGTTCAAGACCCAGCACCAGAATGAGGTATGATGGGGTGGGGGTGGAGCGGAAGGTCTGGGGGAGGGGGCCACCACTACTCGTCACAGAGTCTCACTCCTCTGTCTCCCTAGATAGCCTCTCCCCAGACTTTAGCCACGCCTCCCCTACAACAGTCTTCTCCTTCCACTCATGAGTTCTTTTTCCTTCCTACCTATTTCTCCTACTTATAATTCCACTGTATTTGTTTCTAGCCTTGGAGCTGGTGAAGGAAGCTATCGACAAGGCTGGCTACACGGAGAAGATTGTGATTGGCATGGACGTAGCTGCCTCTGAGTTTTATCGTGACGGCAAATACGACTTGGATTTCAAGTCTCCCACTGACCCTTCCCGATACATCAGTGGGGACCAGCTGGGGGCACTCTACCAGGACTTTGTTCGGAACTATCCTGGTGAGAGCTAGGGATGTGGGAGATAGGAAAGGGGGCAAGAGAAATAGGTGGGGGCCCTGTAGGACAGCTATAAACTTTATGGGGTGCAGTCTGGTACTAGGTGATGTCCCAAGGAGCCTGAGAAGCAGGGAGAAGGGGAGGAGCTTACTGCAGAGCCGTGTTTTGAGTGTCATGGGTCTCCTCCATCTGTTTCAGAACCTGGGTTCTAAGACCTACTGGGTCCTAGGGAGGGCTCTGGAGGGAGCAGGGATGGGGAGACCTGGATGGATGTAAAAGTGTCAGGGTTTAGTGTCATCGATGAAGGTAGATCCTGAATGAAGTTGGCACTGCTGCCTGAAAAGGAACACTGAGTTAGAGTCTCCGTACCTACCAAGGGCATCTGCCCCACTCCATGGAGGCCATTGTCTTCATCTTCCTGAGTAAAATAGATACCAGTTGAGAAGGTAAGAGTTAGACTAGTAATGAGGAAGGACTTCCAGGCAGTAAGACTAGAAGAACTAACAGGGTATGAAGAAGCCAGCTCCCTGGTTACTGAAACTTGTATGAAATGATAGGAATCTGAGCAGACTTGCTTGGGAAGGTGCAGGGACAAGGATGAGGAAACTTTGCTAGGTGGCAAGTCAAAGGAGGATGTCCCTCCAGAGCTCAAGAAACATCAACAGTCCCTGCCCACTCCCTCCCCAGTGGTCTCCATTGAAGACCCCTTTGACCAGGATGATTGGGCAGCTTGGTCCAAGTTCACAGCCAATGTCGGCATCCAGATAGTGGGTGATGACCTGACAGTGACCAACCCAAAGCGTATCGAGCGGGCCGTGGAGGAAAAGGCCTGCAACTGTTTGCTGCTCAAGGTCAATCAGATCGGCTCGGTCACAGAAGCCATCCAAGCGTGAGTGGCTTCCAGCCTTCTCCCAGCCGGCCCTTGTTCCTTCAGGGTTCCTCTTTAAGTCCTCCTAGCCCAATTCTGCCCTGGAATGTTGATGAAAGTTGGGTACGCTTCACAACCCTCTCACTTCCGTTCTCTCTATTCCCCATGCTCCCTCCCCATTTCCCACTTAGTCACTTTCCTCCAGGTGTTTCCTGACGTAGACCAAGCCTGGGGCTGGGAGGGAATACCTGTGCCTCGGGGCAGAGGTCAGTGCTGGTGTATACCGCAGGTGCAAGCTGGCCCAGGAGAACGGCTGGGGGGTTATGGTGAGTCATCGCTCGGGAGAAACAGAGGACACATTCATCGCTGACCTGGTAGTGGGCCTGTGCACAGGCCAGGTGAGTGGAGCTAGTCTGTGGTTTTAGGACAGATATTTATAGGGTTGATGGGTTCTAGGCCCAGGTGGTTACTCTCCTGACAGAAGATGGAGAGTCAGAGAAGCTTCAGGAGTAGTTTTGCCAGGCATTGGCACCATACACCTTTAATCCAAGCATTGTGGAGGCAGATGGATCTCTGTGAGTTCGAGGCCAGCCTGGTCTATATAATGAGTTCCAGAACAGCCATGACTATATAGAGAGACCCTGTCTTACAAACAAGAGTAAAAAGCGTAGAAGTTTTGAGCTTGTGGGATGACTCAGGGGTAAGGTGCCCAGTACCAGGCCTGGCTGACAACTTGAGTTTGGTTCCTGGGACTCTCACATTGGAAGGAAAGAACCAATTCCCACCAGTTGTCCTCTGGCCTCCTCATGCACACCACGGCGTGAGCAGACTCAGACATAAAATGAATAGAGTATTGAGTTTTACAAGTCACTCATTAACTAACTAACACAAATGCAGAGTAGGAGCTTCAGAGCTGGAGGGTTAGCTCAGTAGCAGAGCACTTGCCTAGCATGTGCGAGGTCCTGGGCTTCATTAAAAAAGGTAGGGTATGGGGGCTGGAGAGATGGCTCAGTGGTTAAGAGTACTGACTGCTCTTCCAGAGGTCCTGAGTTCAATTCCCAGCAACCACATGGTGGCTCACAACCATCTGTAATGAGATCTGGTGCCCTCTCCTGGCGTGCAGACATATGTAGAGGCAGGATGTTGTATTCATAATAAATAAATAAAATCTTTAACAACAACAAAAAGGTAGGGTATGATGACGCATGCCTTAGTCCCAGAGCTCAGGAGGCAGAGGCAGGAGGATCTCTGTAAGTTCAGGACCAGCCTGGTGTTGAGTTCCAGGACAGTCAGGGCTACACAGAGACAGCTGTCTTGAAAAACCAAACGAAACAAGCACACAGACAGACGACCTGGGCTTGGTGGCACATGTCTCGGGAAGCAGAGGCAGGAGGCTCGGGAACTCAAGGCTAGCCTGTCACTTTTGAGGTCAACCTTCATGAAACTGTCTCAAAATTTAAAAAATGGGACTGGGGGGAGTTAGGGTTGTTCGAGCGGGTGAAGGAAATCTTTAAGTTGCATATCCCCTGGAATGTTTCAGATCAAGACTGGTGCTCCATGCAGGTCTGAACGCCTGGCGAAGTACAACCAGCTCATGAGGTGAGGAGGGGCCCTGGAGGATAAGAGCCCGAGACCCGGGACTAAACGCCCCATTAGGCCCCATTCCTTCTGTATCATCCAGGACCTGGATAGGAGTTGATGCCAAGAAAATGCTTTTGCTTAGTGGGTTCAGGGATGGTCCGACTGACAGATGGCTAAGGTCACACTAAAGGCAGGGAATGTTCACCCCGGGCAGTCTTCAAAGAAGGAGCCTGGAGGGACCCAGAGAGAGAAGCAGATCCCTCCCGCTCCCCTGACTGCTACCCTTTTGGATCATCTCTCAGAATTGAAGAAGAGCTGGGGGACGAAGCTCGCTTCGCGGGACATAACTTCCGAAATCCCAGTGTGCTGTGATCGCTCTGCTGCCTGGAGACTGGACCCTCCACCTCATCCTCCCGAAGCCCCCTCCCTGCAGTCCTGACCTGCCATAGTTCACCCTGGTACCTGAGCCCAAAGTCACCCAGAACGCCTCAACTCACCTGCTCATGGCTGCCGCGACCCCTTGCTGTCTCTGCTCTTCCCCCTCTCCGGACCCCAGTTGTGGGGATTCCATTCTTCCTACTTTCCCGTCTATTCTCTCTTCTCCTAAAAAAAACAGAAGTGGAAATGGGAATGAAGATTAGCAGGGGGTCCACAGAGCATCGCTGTGTGACAGGAGCTCCAGGGTTGGTGTGCTGAGCGTTTAGAATGGGGCCATGTGGCTCAAATGCGTCACTGTTGTTTCCCATGATGTGGATAAGCCATGGACTATGCATAGAACTGGTGTCTGGGGAGTGCTGGATGTGTGATCATGTGTGGTAAGGCTTTAGTGTGTGTGTGTGTGTGTGTGCGAGCCCTCGTGTGTATCTCTATTTATTTACTTATTTATTTTATTGTTCAGCTTGTTAATCAGTCAGCTCCCCATAACTGTAGTCTGAAACTGACATAACTCGACAGGACTCGGCATCTGTATTTTCACGTGGCTGCATCCCGAGATGACCCGGGATGGGAGGTTTTGCTCGCCTGAGGAGGGTAACAGGAAAGAACCTTAGCGATTATTTCACCTAGTGCACTAGCTGAAGCTTGCACTTCACAGAATGTCGCTGTGTGCCTGGAGGGCTTTTCCGCTCTCTCCCCAGCCCTAGGTCTTCCTCCAGCTGCACCAGAGCACGGCCTCTCTCCCCCATGCCTTGTTCCACAGTTGCTGCCCTCTCTGTGGCTTTGAAATGAGCACCACCATTAAAGTCTGAATCACAGTGACCACCTGCGTCTGAGGAGTTTTACTCTCTGCCCCGTAGGAGAGAGGGGAGACACAGCACTGGTGAAAGCACAGCAGGTCTGGGGAGGACACAGAGAGGAAGTCACTGAACATATGACCAAGTCTGTGGCATTGCTGACTAGGTGGAGTCCATTGGCTTTGCCTTTTTTTGTTTTTTGTTTTTTTTTTCATTCGAGACAGCGTTTCTGTGTAGCCCTGGCTGTCCTGGAACTCACTCTGTAGGTCAGGCTAACCTCAAACTCAGAGATCTGATTTTACCTTTTTTTTTTTTTCATTTCTTTCACGAACTGAGGATTTTTAACCTTCGGTCAGGACTCCCTCAAGTGTCAGAGTTAGTGTGTATCTGGGGTGAGGAGTGAGGTGTTTCTGGTTCCCAACAAAGTGTAGACTAAAAGCTGAAAATTCCCATGCGGGGCCTCCGTAACAGAATGTTGGATGGCCCTGCATGAGACAGGACTCATGGCAACCTTTGGACTATGGAATGGAGGCGGGGGGGGGGGGGGGAATGGATGGCATCATGGTGGGCCTAAGGAATCGGAGTGCTTCAGTAATGGGATTTACACCTGAAGGGCTCAACAGCCTCTCGGGACGGCCAGACTGTGACGAGGGCATCAGTGTGTGGCTAGAGGCCCTCGAACTTTTCAGCTTCCGGTGTGGCTGTGGTGTTGAACCACCCAGGCTAGGGACCACCCTGGGGGTCAAACCCTCTCATTTGATGTCTATACTTACGGGCAGCATCTGCCCATGGGTAGCTGTGGCCACTAGAGGGAGCCCATGTTATGCAGGACACCATTATTAGATGCCAAGGTGAGGTTGGGTGGGAAGAATTTCAAGGTTGCACCCTCTGCCAGCCTCCTCTGGTCCCAGGCTCCCGCAGCCTTCCTTTCCATTCTGGGGCTGGTGAATGGGTGGGGGCCACATCTCTCTTTGCCCTCCTTCCTGTTCCAAGAACTTGTTGCTGTCTCTCCTTCCCTGCACCTCTTAATTTCCGTGTAACCATCTCACCTCTCCCTTCTCCCCTAGCACCCCATATGTCTCCCATGGAGCTTACAACACTTTTCTCTGCGATTGCGTTCTCAGAGACACCCAGACTGGCCCGGGCTATTGTAGCTGCAGCCACCTTTGCCAGCCCAGCCCTTTCTTCCCTCCACCCCTGCCAGGTGTCTCTGACTCCACTCCGGTCCCCTCCAGGTACTGGGTGGGTTGGGTTACAGCTAGCTCTGCTTGGCCTCCAAGGCCCCTCTCTGCTTTCCTTTTGTGCCGTTGCCTGGAGACCGGTGGGTTGTGGGGGGCTGGGGCCAGAGAAGGAGCTGGGGTGAAGGATGGGGGTGGGGTGTACATGTGATGCTCCCAGCAGCCAAGCTGTGAGCCTGGCCTTGGGTACCAGAGGAACCAGAAGGGGTAGTGTTGGCTTCTTTTCCTGGACTCATTCCCTGTCCTTATCTAAGGCCAAAATGATCTTCTCTTAGGCTTAGATAAGTTACCCTGTTGGCCTTTGCCTTGGTGGTTAAACAAGGAGAAAAGCTGCTCAGTCTAGAAAAGATTTGGAAAGGGCCTGGGCCAGGCCCAGTGGGAAACGAAAGGAAAGAGAGGAAATGCAATGGGGAGAGGGAGGAGGGAGGAGGGAGGAGGAGTCTCAGAGCAAAATTAGTGAGTGGAGAGGAGAGGCTGTCCTGGCGCATAGAGGAAAGGAAGCGTGGGACACAGGGGGACAGGGGCTGACCTGGTCTCTGGGGGCCCTGGATGGAGATGAGAAGCTAGGCACTCGGGTAGAGTGAGTCCCCACAGAGTGGGGTGATGGTGGGGAGGATTCTGACTGTTTCCCCAGTGCTTGGGAATCTGTTGAGAGATTTGGGTAAGTTCAAGAACTTGGCTGACTCTAGCCTAAGGAATGGTGACATGAGATCTACTGGGTTCTGTCAGGTCAGCCTGTCCCCTTCCTTCCTGAAAGGTAGCCTGCCCATCCAGTGCCCCTTACGCCACCTGCTTGGTTTGCAGCTAGACTGCCCCACAAATGCCCTACCCCCACCCCAAATCTGGTGAACTACTGTGAGGGCTCCCAATCCAGACTCCAGCTCCAGTTCTTCCCGTTTCCCAGCCTGCCTCCCTCCCTTTCTCAGCCTTCCCAATTTCAGCTGCCAAAAATCACCCTGTCTCTAGTGTCCTTTGTCCTGAGAGATGTTGCTGCTTGGTGTGGGGCCAGATAGGGAGCCAGAAGAAGGCACTGGTGGACCAATGCGGGTGCTGACTTCATGACTGTAGACCCGACATGACTGACAGGAGAAGAGTTAGGAACACCACGCTGTGGTCTGTGGTGGGGACTGACTCCATATTCCAACAATTGTTACAGGCAATCAGGGTACCCAAGGGTGTGCATAGGTCTCTTCCACTCCATCCCTTCTGTGGCCATGACCGAAGATGCTTAGTAGTAATGGCTTCAAACAGACGTGAGGAAAACGGTGCAAACGGAAGGGCCCAAATACGAAGTGCCATTCCTCAGTTACCTCTCACAAGCCAGGGCCTGCCGCCCCGTTCTGTCACTTATCCGCAGGGTTTCCCTTTTCCCATCACTAACCCTCCCTCCATGATGCCACAAAGACCGTATTTATCTTACACTTTCTTCCCAGTCCTCTCTAATTCATTTTCCTCCAGTTTATTTGCCAAAGGAAATAGTTCTTAGTTCTACTGAAAGTCCATCCTCGGTTTTACCAACCCACCCCAAACCCCAGTCTCCCTCTACAATAGGCATCTGATCCCGCCTTTAAAAATCTCCTCTGAGATCTCCCATGCCTTCGCTCCCACAGAGGTATCTGGACTTCCCCCCAGCTTCCATTCATCACTCCCAAATTCTTGTGGTTTGCATTCTTTTCAACACCAATCACCCCTAAACTCTTATCTCTTCCAGAAACACCGTTCTCTTAGTAGTCTTCATCTTTTTGTCCTTTTCCGTCCAGGTCTCCAAACTTCCATCGTATTCTCTCCAGTCTAAGGCTCTGGCCCTTCCTCCCCATCTTCCCAATAGAGCCCCATTATCCCCAGTCTCTCCTTCAGTACCCCTCAAACTCCTCCCACTTCACCCCAGCCACAGCCCTTGTCCCCAAACTTCTCCGGCCTCCCCACGTCTGCCCTCACGGCCCACAGCCCCTCCCACCCAGCCCTCTCTCGCGCGGGGCCGCGAGCTCCCCACGCTCTGCGCCGCGAGGCCCTCTCCCTTCGCGCCCGGGCCGGCTTCGGCCAAACTCGCCCGGCGCCTCCCCTTCCCCGATCCTCCGCCCCCCGACTGCCGCGCGCTCCCTCCCTCGCGTCTCCTCCGGGCCCCTCTCTCCTCCGTTCCTCCGCGCTCCCTCCTTCTCCCTCTTCCTCCCTGCTCCCATCCCCCTCTCCCGAGCGCCCTCCCTCCGCCGTCCGCTTTCCTGTGCGAGTCGCCGGACGCGCCGCCCAGCCCGTCCGCCTGCCCGCCCGCCCGCAGCCCCGCGCCGGGCCGGGGCCTCGGGCCGGGACGCGTTTCGGGGCGGCTGGCCTCGGGGCGGGCTAGGGTCGCGCGGCACGAGCGGCTGCAGGGCCGGGGGTCGCGGGCCTCGCCGGGCCGCGAGTGCGGGCGGAGGCGGGCGGCGCGGCGGGGGCGGGAGGCGCATTCGGGGCGGGCGGGCGAGCGGGCGGGAGGTGCGAGAAGCCGATCGGGGCTGCGCGGGGAGAGAGGCATGGGGGCCGCCCTCCGGGGGGGCCGGGGCCGGCGCCGCCGCCGCCGCGGCGGCGACTGAAACCGCGCAGAGAGGAGGGGCGGGGAGTGGCCGCCGCCGTCCCCGGGAGGCGCCGGAGCCCGACTGCGCTCGCAGCCAGCCAGCCGTCCCGAGCCGCTCGCAGGTAAGACCCGCGGCTGCCCTCCCGGGCCGCCCCGATTCGGCCCTCGGCTCCCTGCCCCCACCCCTCCCGGCCCCCCCTCCCGCCGCCGCCTCCATTTGTTATTTTCCCGGTCGCGTTCCCTCACTGCGGGCACGGCCGGGCCCGAGGCTGGGGCTCAGGGGGTGGGGCCGCCCGGAGGAGGGACGCGGGCCCGGGAGTCGCGAGCCCGGGAGGTGGGGGAGGAGGGTCTCGAGAGGAGGGCTGACGGGGCCGAGCGTCGCCAGGACCAGAGCCTAAAGGGGAGGATCGCCGAGGTGGAGACTTGGCGGAGGTAAAACGGGGGATGCTGTGCGGGCGGTTCGCCGAGAAGGCAGGACCGATCGGAGAGATGGCAGCGAGGTGGGGCGTGAAGGCTCCAGAAGCCCCACAGGCCTAGAACCCGGGTTCCAAAACCCAGGCTTGCGGGTGTTAGCAACAGAAGGGAAGTGGGAACCGGGAAAGGGGTGTGGTGGATGGTAAGAACAGGATTGTAGCTGCCGAGAGGGGGGATTGAACCTGGGGGAATGGAGGAGAAGGACCAGTTGAGGCCCATCCTTGAGAAGCCTGGGGTGGAAATGGGAAGGCCGTATCTTTTGTGACTCAGTTTTCTTTTCCCCATTCCAGGTCACCTCTGACCCTGTTTTCCTAATCCCAGTCCTAGTTACTTCGGGGAGAGGGCACTGAGGCTCGGCAGTGTGGGTCTTCCTAGCACTAATAAGAACGGCAGGAATACTAGAAGGGAGAATTAGAAAGGTTGGGAGGTTGGGAAAGAAGAGAGAATTGGGCAATCGTGTAGGCATTCCAAGGAATCGTGACCTCCACCCTCGTCCCCAGAGCACTGACTGCCCCACAGCTGGGCTCTATCTGGGAGACTTTCATTACTGCTTTGATCTCAGAGATCTCCCTTTGTGCCAGGGGCAGGTTACCCTAATGCTCCCTTCCCTGAGGGTACTCTAAGAGGATCGGAGTTGCTTTGGCAACTGAGGTGGTAGTAGTGGCTGCCAGCTGGGCCCCTGGGGTGGTCTCTTGAGGGGCACTTTTTTTTTCACCCATTTTGTTGCCATGGCAGTGATCCAGTGGGAAGTCCTATAGGTGGGGA